TGAGGCCTTCATAAGAACATCAGAAGAGCCCTGCTGGATCAGACCAGTGGTCCCTCTAGTCCAGCATCCTGTCTCACAAATGGCCAGCCAGTTCCTCTGGACAGCCAACAACAGGGCACAGAGGCCGAGGCCTTCATAAGAACATTTTTATCCCACCCTCCCCGCAAGCGGGCTCAGGGCAGCTCACAACAAGGGCATCAAGTGCCAGTATAAAACATTAAAATCAAAACACAACAATAAGATTAACATTAATAAAGTGCTCAGTGGTATTATTGCTTCAGTCAAATCAAGATGAAGACTTGAGAATATTAACCCAAGGGATATTAACCCAGAGCCCATTTTGGCAGCGCCGATCCATCACAGTACTGTAAAAGTTTTATATTGGGCCATCCCTCACGATCGTTAGTGGAGGTGGTAGTGGTGGCTCCTAGTTAAAAGCCTGGCGGAAGAGCTCCGTCTTGCAGGTCCAGCAGAACTGTGAAAGTTCCTCTGGACGGCCAACAACAGGGCACAGAAGCTGAGGCCTTCATAAGAACATCAGAAGAGCCCTGCTGGATCAGACCAGTGGTCCATCTAGTCCAGCATCCTGTCTCACACAGTGGCCAACCAGTTCCTTTGAGTCTATACAATATTCCCAAATAGGCCACCCCATACATCTATACAAGTGCATTACAATATCAGCTGTTTCTTTCTCAATCCATTTCCTAATAATCCCTATCTTTTCCCCCTTTTTTCACTGCTACACTGGGTTAGAACATAAGAGAAGCCAATGTTGGATCAGGCCAATGGCCCATTCTGTCTAACACTCTGTGTCACACAGTGGCCAAGCCCAGGTGCCCTTAGGAGGTCCTCCAGCGGGGTCAAAAGCCCCCCCCCACTGTGGCCCCCCAAGCCCCAAGAATACAGAGCATCACCCTGGAGGAAATGGCTACTTTGGAGGATGGACTCCCTTGCATTAGTTTCCCCCCCTCCCCAATCTCCAGGAATTTCCCAATGGAGCTGGCATCCATAGTCAGGATGCCCATAGAATAGGGGAGGTGGGCTCCAGTCGTAAGTCACCACGAAACCCTTTGCATGAGTGGCAATGAAAAAAGCTAACAAATAAATAACATTTTAAAAATTCAGTTGCAGAATTTGGGGTCTTTTACTGGCAAAAGCGGGGGGGGGAGTTGCTTCAGAGAGCCAGTTTGGTGTAGTGGTTAAGTGTGCGGACTCTAATCTGGGAGAACCGGGTTTGATTCCCCACTCCTCCACTTGCACCTGGCTGGATGACCTTGGGTCAGTCACAAGCTCTGGCACAGCTGTCCTTGAAAAAGAGCAGTTTCTGTCAGAGTTCTCTCAGCCCCATCCACCTCACAGGGTGTCTGTTGTGGGGAGGGGGAAGGGAAAGGAGTTTGTAAGCCGCTCTGAGACACCTTTGGGTAGTGAAGGGTGGGGTATAAATCCAATCTCTTCTTCTTCTTCTTCTTCTTCTTCTTCCAGAGTTTGATTCAGAATTCTAGACCTTCCAGATAACCCATGGGGAAATAGTTTTCCCTAACCCACTCCTGTGTGGATTCATTAATTGTGAATTGGATGTTACAAAAAAAAAAAATTATGTCTCCAGCTTCTGTACATGTCCACCCAACTTACTTTATCTAATTGTTTGTGCAATTCCAAGGACTTCCCTAAAATGTCATACTGTTTCTTGGTCTCGTTGGCAAAGTCGTCACAGATGCGCCTGAGTTCAACACACTTTGGTCTAATGGAATCAATTGCATAATGGTTGTTTTGGATCAGCTGGTCTCCATGGACAGCCAGGGACTGGGCTTTTTCCAAAGGTTCCTGCAGAAAAAAAATAACAACAAATGTTTTTAAAGGGTAAGAAAAAAAATTACCCACCTTCAAGTGGACCATGAACTAAACAGATTTCCCATCATCTCTATGCAAACCTGGTCTGCATCTATGCATCGCTGGAAACTGCAGTATGGGGGAGCTGCTGCATGACCGTGGTTATTTGCAACTTAATCGGCTGGCCTACATGGGAAGATGAAGCTGCAACCAGTGTTCCCTCTAAGCTGAGTTAGTGTGAGCTAGCTCACAGTTTTTTAGCCTCCGGCTCACACATTTTTGTCTTTGCTCAGGAAGGAGGGCTCCAGAGCCAACTAATTTATGCAGTATCCGAATCGCTCTATCACAACTTTAATCCCAGTGGCTCACAGAGTAGAATTTTTGCTCAGAAGACTCCACAGCTTAGAGGGAGCATGGGTTGCAACTGATTAATGCTGCTTTAAAAACAGTGCAACATCCAACGTTGTGTGGATGCAGCCCCGGAGTAGCTTTCTCTTGCTCTCCCAAACAGCTCGTCCCACTCTCTGTTGCTCCCCCTTAGGCCTCAACTACCCTCCTAAACATATTCCTAGTTGGATCTTTCCCCCACCCATCTCACAATGCCCGGAGCATAATGCCTTAGTGCTCATCTCCAACCATAAAAAAGGTAAAGGTTCCCTTGCTCGAAAGCCAGTCGAATCCGACTCTAGGGTTGCGGTGCTCATCTCCGTTTCAAAGACGAAGAGCCAGCGCTGTCCGAAGACGTTTCCGTGGTCATGTGGCCGGCATGACTAAACACCGAGGCGCACGGAACACTGTTACCTTCCCACCGAAGTGGTACCTATTTATCTACTTGCAATTTCTTGCTTTCGAACTGCTAGGCTGGCAGGAGCTGGAACTAGAGATGGGAGCTCACTCCATCATGCGGCACCCGGGTCTCGAACTGCTACAGACCTTGTGGTCTGCAGCTCAGCATCTTAACCTCTAAGCCACCGCGGCCCCTTGACCCAGCCCATGCCCATTTAATTGCATGAGGTCACGCTTGCCCCTTTCGACTACATTTGCAGTCCAGGCCTGCTAACAGATATATTCAGGGGCAGGGACATGGGGTGGGCCGTGACGTCCTGTGTGCCACTAAACATGAGCCTGCAGTGCGATGTGGCTGCGAAGAAAGCTAATGCAATCTTAGGATGCATGAACAGAAGCATTGTGTCCAGATCATAGGAGATGGTAGTCAGTGTTCCCTCTAAGCTGAGTTAGTGTGAGCTAGCTCACAGTTTTTTAGCCTCCGGCTCACAGATTTTTTTTGTCTTAGCTCGGGAAGGAGGGCTCCAGAGCAAACTAATTTATGCAGTCGCCAAATTGCTCACTCACAACTTTAATGCCAGTAGCCCACAAAGTAGAATTTTTGCTCATAAGACTCCACAGCTTAGAGGGAGCATTGGTGGTAGTTCCGCTCTATTCTGCTATGGTCAGGCCTCACCTGGAGTCCTGTGTCCAGTTTTGGGCACCACGTTTTAGGAAGGATGTTGACAAGCTCGAGCGTGTCCAGAAGAGGGCAACCAGGATGGTCGGAGGGTTGAAACCCAAGTCTTATGAGGAAAAGGCTGAAAGAGTTGGGTCTGTTTAGCCTGGGAAGGAGAAGGCTTAGAGGGGACAGGATTGCAGTCTTCAAGTATTTGAAGGGCTGTCATGTAGAAGGTGGAGTGGATCTATTTTATCTTGCTCCGGATTGCGAGACTAGATCTAATGGGTTGAAATTACAAGGGAGTCGTTACCGGATAAATATCAGGAGAGACTTCCTAACTGTCAGAGTGGTTGAGCAGTGGAACAGTCTGCCTCTGGAGGTGGTGGATGCTCCTTCGCTGGACGTTTTCAAGCGGAGGTTGGATGACCATCTTTCAGGTATGTTGTAGGTATGTAGGGCTATTCTTCAGCTATGCTCCTGCAGAGTGCAGGGGGTTGGACTAGATGACCTGCAAGGTCCCTTCCAATTCTAACATTCTATGATTCTAAGTCATAAGTTTCCAGGGGGAAACCTGGAAGCGACATAGGGTAGCTCTAGGAATTGCTGGAAACCCCATGGTAATCCTGGAGTTTCTGGTGATTCATAGAGCTACTCTCTGTCACTCTCAGGTTCCCCAGAAGACACAGCAGTCACAGGATGCTGGCTTAAAATAAAAAATCTTCCGCTGCTGCTTAGAGCTTCCTGTCCATGAGGAAGGGGGCAGGCAGCCTTACTTCCTACCTGTGTCTCCTCCTCTCCCTTTTCCCTGCCCCTATTTTCTTCTTGTCTGTTAGAATGTGGGTCAAAAGCACCCGGAGGTGGTTAGACACTATACAGTGATAGTACAATATACTTCTTAATAATAAAAGCCTAGAGTTCAAGTTCAAGTTCAAGACCTTTATTGGCATAGATCATAATCATACAGTCGCCATTCAGTTCATTGATTTGACACACAGCTTCCTCATTATAAGGCAGTTACAGAACTTGGCAACCGCTAATAAAAGCCTAGAAAAAGACAAACCTGTCCTTTCTCCTCTAATTGCTTCCGTTCCTTCAGAAGGTGCTCCACACGAGAGACGCTGTCTCCAATATCCGTGAACACGGCTTGCGTTTCCATCAAGTTATCCAGCGCCAGTTTAACCTACACGGGAGACATGCAGAAAATGACAGGGAGGAATTAGCAAATGGCCTACCGTTTCCTGACTATTATTGGGTTATAACTGAGGCCATTTGGACACACTCGTAGGAGCAGAACAGATCTCCTCTCAATAAATATGAACATTCTTCAGACATGAGCAGGATAGGTTCGAAGGACCCTGTATGTTTCCCCAATGCAGCTAATTGGGGTGGGGGGGACAGTCACGGGAACAATGCAGGGGAAAAGGTGAAATAGCCCCTTCCCCAGTGTGCTTCCTCAACTTTAGACGGAGCTCCTCTCCGCTCCACAACATCTGTGAGGTTTTTATAAATATGCACAGATCCTGATCATCAATCTACTTCAATGTTATTTGTTTACCTAACTGGGCCCTGCTTCCCCCCCAACTGTGGACACAAAGCTGCTTACAACATCTTTCTACTCTCCACAACTTTATGCAAATAGCCTACCGTTTCCTGACTATTATTGGGTTATAACTGAGGCCATTTGGACACACTCGTAGGAGCAGAACAGATCTCTTCTCAATAAATATGAACATTCTTCAGACATGACCAGAAAAGGTTCGAAGGACCCTGTATGTTTCCCCAATGCAGCTAATTGGGGTGGGGGGGACAGTCACGGAAACAATGCAGGGGGAAAGGTGAAATTGCCCCGTCCCCAGCATGCTTCCTCAACATTAGACGGAGCCCCTCCCCGCTCCACAACAGCTGTGAAGTTTTTAAAAATAGGCACAGATCCTGATCATCAATCTACTTCAGTGTTATTTGTTTAGATAACTGAGCCCTGCTTCCCCCCCAACTGTGGACACAAAGCTGCCTACAATATCTTTCTACTCTCTGCAGCTTTATCCTCACAACCAACCTTGTGAGGGAGGTTAGGTTGAGCGTTATGTGACCGGCCCATGGTCACCCAGTGAGCTTCCATGACAGCGTGGCGATTCGAACCTGGATCTTCTAGATTGGGGGTCCCCAATCTTTTGGAGCCTGTGGGCACCGTTATGATTCTGACACACGTGGTGGGCAGAAGAACTGCAAAATGGCTGCCACAGGTTACCTTCAGGCACACGATTAAGATCTCTGTGCTGTGGTGGCAGCTGCTGCCAAAGTCACATATTTAAAAACCTGCACAGCCAATCAGATCTCCAGTACCCAATGTCATGGGCATGGATGAGGATGAGCTGACAGAGCCTGCAGAAACCACAGCTGGCCCCTCTGAAGCAGCAGAGGAGGGTAGCTGGCAAGTGCCTACAACAGCAGTCTTCACACCTGGCCCAGATAAGAAGGAAGAACGCAAGCTGAAAGTCCTCCTGACTCACCCAACTGCGGCAAAACTTAGCAACTAAGCGAAGAGAGGCCAGGCTACAAGGGTGATGCTCCGCCAGCCCAGAGTTCTAACAGGAGACTGGGCAATCATGCAGCCGGCTAATTGGTAACAGCATTTAACTCCACACTCTGGAAGCAATGAGTCAGCTTTGTGCTGCTGCTTGCATCCACTCCGGCTTGGCTCTTGTACCTAGAGCTTTGGATCTCCTGGTTTTGGACTTGGGTCTATGTTCCTGGCTCCTGACCCCAGCTTGGCTTTTGGACATTGCACTGTCTTCTTGGCTTCTGACCTTGGCCTGTTCTGGACTCTCTTTGGACTGGCACCCCAGCCCGTGACACCCAATCAGAAGCCTTGATGGGCAAAAGCCCCAGCTGGCACTGCCCATTTTATAAAACCACTTAGCAGGCGCCAAGAAAGGTGTTAGCGGGCGCCCTGGCTCCCATGGGCACCATGTTGGAGACCCCGTTCTAGATCCTTGTCTGGTACTCTAACCACTACACCACACTGTTTCTTGGAATTTTTGGCACCTGGAAGTTTACAGGCAGGAGAAGGAGTCCTTCCTGACCTTCTGCTGATTCTGCCAGGTATCTGCCGGCAACAGCTGGCACAGGTGTTCAGATCAGACACATAATCAGACACTCAAAAAAAACATAGAGAGAATAATATTGTCCCAGTTCCGACTGCCCGGGCCTCTCCCTCGAGCCGCGGCTCCCCCGCTTACCGCGACCACCGGCTTCAAAACGGGCAAGGCTGCGGTGGATCAGGAGGCAGGAAGCAAGGGGGACGAAGGCTACCGGGCCACAGCTCAGCCCCTTCCCCGCAGAGGGAGACCGGCCAGAGGGCGGCTCGCACAGAGGCGACGTCTTTGCCGAGGCCCGCGGGGCCTGCGCAACAAAGCAACGATGGTCAATCCGCGCCAGCCTCTGACTCCTCTGTTCCGGGCGGGGTCAAAACGCTCCGCCCTGGGCAGAGCGTCGGAGCTCTTATAAGGGGGCAGAGCCACCTATGATTGACACTCAGCCAGTAAGAGGGAGGGGAGGGGGAAAATAGGTATAAAAGGGGAACGAGATGGGAGGCCGAGGAGAAAAAGGAACTGCAGAGTCGAGGGAGGAGACGGGCCGACCGGAGGTCGGAGGAAGAGACGACTAGGCGGGCGTCTCCCAAGGTTCTAGCAGGGATGCAGGTGACGAAACCAGGTGGCCGGTCCAATTTCTGAGGCCTCCTGTTCCCCCTTTAAGAGGGGAAAGTCACTCCGGGACGGCAACTGGGGACAAAGAAGACCCCCTCCAGCAGGCTGGGGCGCCACAAATATGTTCTGCTTACAACAGACATGCAGACAAGACAGTCAACCAGTGTTTCACCAGCATTTGGGATGGGAGAAAACAAACAAACACGTTCCGAATAGTAAGCAACAAGCAAAGACAGTACCTCTCTGAAATCCTGCTCAAAGTGTCGGAGCTGTAGGCACTGTTCTAGCTTAAGGTGGTGCTTGGACCAGAACTGATCGAAGGCTCTCTCTGTTTCATCCAGCTGAGCTAGCAACCTGGCGGGGGCAATCAGAGAGAGGCTTTGTGAATTTCCTGCATTGCGCAGGGGGTTGGACTAGATGACCCTGGAGGTCCCTTACAATTCTATGATTCTATGATTCTATGACATACGGCCCTAGAATCCAGAACCGAGAAGAGGACGACACAGAAGCATACTGAAATGCCCCTGTAGAGGTCTATGGTGCAGCCTCATTTGGAATACTGTGTACAGTTCTGGTCACCACACCTCAAAAAGGACATGGCAGAGCTGGGAAGAGTACCGAGGAGGGCAACCAAGATGATGAGGGGGTTGGAGCACCTTCCCTAGGAGGAAAGGCTGAAGGGTCTGGGACTCTGAAGCTTAGAAAACAGATAACTAAGGGGGGGACATGATAGAGGTTTATCAAACTGTGCATGGGGTGGAGAGAGTTGACCGAGAGAACTTTTGCCCCTCTCCCAAAACACTAGAACTTGAGGGCGTCCAAGGAAGCTGATGGGCAGTAGGTTCAGGACGGACAAAAGGAAATACTACTTTATACAGAGAGTGATTAAATTGTGGAACTCGCTACCAGAGGATGTCGTGATGGCCACAGGAATAAACAGCTTGAAATGGGGATTAGATAGGTTCATGGAGGATAAGTCTGTCAGTGGCTACTAGCCATGGTGACTGAGGGGAACCTCCACAGTCAGAGGCACTAATCCTCTGAGTCCCAGAGCCAGGAGGCAACATCAGGGGAAGGCCAGAGGTCCATCAGTGGCTATTAGCCACAAGGTATAGATAGGGGCTCTGGGGCAAGTGACGCTCTGTCATCTTGGTGCTTGGGGGGGGGTCAACAGTGGGAGGGCTTCTAATGTCCTGGCCCCACTGGTGGACCTCCTGATGGGACCTGGTATTTTTGGCCACTGTGTGACACAGAGTGTTGGACTGGATGGGCCTTTGGCCTGATCCAACATTGGCGTCTCTTATGGTCTTATGTTCTTATGAAGGCCTCAGCTTCTCTGTCCTGTTGTGGGCCATTCAGAGGAACTAGTTGGCTACTAGGCTTCCCAAGTCCCCCCAGGGGCCCACCCCAGAGGCCCGTTCCCCGCCGCCGCCGGATTGGGCCCCCGGGGGAACTCCACCCTGACGTGCACATCACCCGGAAGAGACGCGACTACGCCGGGCACGCTGGGAGCGGGGCCACGGCAATCCGAGGGAAAACTCTATGGTTTTCCCTCGTATGGCCATGGCCCCGCCCCAGCGTGCCTGCCGTTGTCACGTCACTTCTGGGAGATGCGCATGCGGCGCGCACGTGCACCAGACGCCAGCCAGGAGCCCCCCGCTCCAGCAGAAGATCGACTTGGCAACCCTATTGGCTACTGTGTGAGACATGATGCTGGAGTCGGTGGACTATTGGTCTGATCCAGCAGGGCTCTTTTTATGTCAGCTTTTCTTGGATGGACAATTTAGCTTAGCAGTTTTAACTTCCGCTATAGAAGAGTTCACAGAAACATCACTTGATGTTTCCATTATGACTGGTCAGGCAAGGTACCTTAGGAAATGCTAACATCTTCAGGCTGCCCAATTGACAAAAACGGTACCCTCCATGGGTTAACATTAGACCTGTTTGTCGACTGATACATCGGAGGGCTCAAATACCTGTTCTGCTGGGTGTTGCATTTCTGACACGAGTTAACTATAAAACGATGACCTGTTCTTTCATTCATTCCTTCAAACAAACAAACCAAAAAAAGTACATCTGTGCAGGTAACTATTTGGAGCAAAAAAAATAAAATAATGCAGGCAGGTTTGCCCTTCTCAGGGATTAGTGAATGTGACTGGATTTATAAATCTGAGCTCCACACCTACCTCTCCACGGTCGCCACGTTTTCGAGTTCGTCTGGACTGAGTTTGCTGGTGGCACTTCTTGTGACGGGTTCGCGGATGCAGGTGAGCAGCGTGGCCCCCTGCTTCACGGCAAGTTTCAGCTCATCCTGAGGAAGAATAAGAAGAGGAAGAGATAGGATTTATATCCCGCTCTTCACTACCCAAAGGAGGCTTACAATCTCCCTTCCCTTTCCCCTCCCCACAACAGGCACCCTGTGAGGTAGGTGGGGCTGAGAGAGCTCTTTCGAGGACTGCTCTTGACTGAACAGCTCTGAGAGAACTTGTGACTGACCCAAGGTCACACCAGCCGCTGCATGTGGAGGCGTGGGGAATCAAACCTGGTTCTCCCAGATTAGAATCTGCACTCTTAAACTACTACACCAAACTGAAGGAGGAAAAAAGAAAGAAAAGTAAACTGCACAGGGGGTCGGTATCCCGAGTTGCCTCACATGGCCTGACTTTGGGAGGGGGAGTTGGTTTACACCCAAGATCCACCTCGTCCCTCCAGGTCACCTCTGTTTTCTCTCTCTCAGGTCCCAGAGTGGCAGCTAGGAGTAGGGTTGCCAAACTCCAGGTGGTAGAAAAGAAACAAGCAACCGTGATGTGTTTTGCCACAAAAGTCTCCAAAGACTAGAAATGTCTTTTTCCAATATTCAGTTTACTGGATGCAATTCGAACGCCATCAACACCAACGGATCATGCATATTATATCTCGTTTCGTGTAGATGAGTGGATTTGATGAGTGTCCACTGATGGATTTGATGAGTGTTACTATGAGATACTACCAGAGAGTTTGTTAAATGGATTAATATTGTATTTCAACGCTATTCACTTTGACACAGTTGTACACAAAACAAGGTGATATGCATGATGCCTTGGTGTTGATGGCGTTTGAATTGCATCCAGTAAACTGAATATTGGGAAAATTAAATTTCTAGTCTTTGGAGACTTTTGTGGCAAAACACATCACGGTTGTTTGTTTCTTTTCTGCTTCCATCCCGTGATCTCTCTCTTTGGTTTGCAACCTCCAGGTGGTGGCTGGAGATCTCCTGGAAATACAGCTGGTCTCCAGGCAACAGAGATTAGTTCACATGGAGAAAATGGCAACGGATTCTGCATCTAGCATTCGCTCCACATTTTCTCAACTGGGAGGGAAAAGTGCAGCTCAAAACCACATTCAGATACCCTGGGGGCAACGCTGTAATGACTGCAAAGTCAGCCCTGAACGGCCATAAAACGGCCATAAATCTGTGCAGACGGTACCATAAAATCCAGTGATGAAAGGAAGCGAAAGCGGCATGGAGTGTGGAGGCCACCCTAAAATCCGGAGATCAAAGGAAGCGAAAGCAGCATGCAATGCAGAGGGGAATTTCTGTTCCAAGGTGGGTTTCATAAAACAACGGAGGGAAAAGCCAATGCAGAATCAGCCTTTGGAAGTGGACTCTATGGCACTATATCCCATTTAAGTCCCTCCCCTCGCCAAATCTCCAGGTATTTGCCAACCTGGGGCTGGCAACCTTGGCTGGGAGTCTTCCTTGGCCCAGAGCTCCAAGGGTTTAAACGTCCTCACAATTCCTGGGAAGAAGGAAACTTTGAAGGAGGAAACACACGCTGACTAAGGAAAGCCCAGGCGCTTATCAGTCCTCCTCATCCTCTGGCAGAAAACCCTTTCATTTAAATAAGGGCAGCCAATGACAAGCCCTGCCTCACTATGTCCCCACCCAGTTCCTGAAAAGCTTGGTAGGGGCCAAAGGAAGTACCGGCCAGCATGACGGCACCCTCCGGCACCACACTGGGGAACCGAGCACACACATCATAATTAAGCCTGGCAACCTAGCATGGGGGCACCAATGGCCCAATGCACAACGCAACAGCCAGGTCTGGGTGGTGGCGGCCCCGTGAAGCTGACGAACGCCAGACCATCTCGTAATGATTGAGTAGGCTGCGAAAACAGTCAGTCGTGGTATATTTCAAAGGCACACCAGTTTTATAGCACAGGTCCAGTGGCCCCTTGCAGAACCAATGACAACTAGGCTTCCGAAGTCCCCCCGGGGGGCGGGGAAACCCCCGCCCCAGAGGCCCTTTCCCCAATGCCAGTGGATCAGGCCCCAGGGGAAACCCCACCCCGACGTGCGCGTCACCCGGAAGTGATGCGACCACGCCGGGCACGCTGGGCACTCTATGGTTTTCCCTCGGATGATTGTGGCCCCGCCCCCAGCGTGCCCGGCGTCATCACATCACTTCCGGCTCCAGCGGCTACAGAGAAATTTCAACTTGGCAACCCTAATGACAACATTTATCCCTGCATGAATTAGTCTTGAAGGTGCCACTGGAGGTGTTTCGTTTGGCTACCAGAGACTGACAAAGCTACTTCACTGGCAATACCAGTTCTACCATAAACAGATGCGATATCACAGAATACAATATACAGAAAGCAAGCAAGCACTGTACAAATAACGCAGACCACAAGTGCTTAAAAAGTCATGAAAAAAGAGTAAATTTATATAACAAAAATAATGGGGACCACATGTATCAGTAAAACCATGACTAATGCAAGTCCATAAATGGTATACAGACAAAATGAAAGTCCATAAATGGTACACAGACAAAGACGAAGACTCTGGATTTTGATCTTCGTTTCGATAGCTCTTCTTCAAGAAGTTCACACTACTTCATGAAGTACTCATAATGTACAAAAGACTTCAAAATGGTATATGTAGGAGGAAAAATCCTTAGCACAGCACTCACAGTGTATAAAAGCCTTCAGACCAGCATTACAGGAAAAAACTCAATCCTATCATAATCATTCAAAGCCGGGCACGCGATCAACAATAGAACAAACTCTCCAATAGTTGGTAAGCCATCCACCATCCAGCTCAATGGTTCTGCACAACGAAAAGCGTCTTTGTACTCTGTGTGTGTGTTAAGTGCTGTCAAGTTACTTTTTTTTTTATAACCCCCGATGGGGACCTCTCTGTGTCAAGGTGAGAAGAAGAAAATGGTAGGCAGTAAATTTATATCTACTCCAGAAGGTGGGTAGGGTGGCTACTCCAGAAGGTAGAGACAATGACTCAGCCCTACCCACCTTCTGGAGTAGATATAAATTTACTGCCTACCATTTTCTTCTTCTCACCTCGACACAGAGAGTACTCCATCTTTCTGTGTCATACCTCTGAGGATGCCAGTCACAGCTGCTGGCGAAACGTCAGGTCCTACAATGCCAAGACCACACAACCCGGAAAATCTACAGCAACTAAGGAACCTTCTACCTTTACCTTCTAATGAGGAACTGAAAGGGAGATGGATAGGGCTGGGGGGGAGGGCGACTGCCAGACCCCTGATCCCAGGGCTTCTCTGCCTTTGTCCGGAGCAGAGCTGCGGAGCTGCAAAGACCCACCTTCAGCTTGTTATGTTGCTCCATGTGGGAAGAAAGGAGCTCCTCCGTGCACTGGACATCATTGGGGAGTTCGGTCTCCGCCAAGTCTGTTCCAAAGGACTGCAGCATCTGAGCGGTGGTCTTCACGGTCATGGCAAAATTCTCGATCGCCTGGAAGAATCAGGAGATTAAAGAGAGTTAAAGAAATACATTATTTCATAGAATCACAGAGTGGGAAGGAGCCAGCCAGGCCATCTGGTCCAACCCCCTACTCAGTGCATGTTCAGTCTAGAGCAGGTATGTCCAACAGGTAGGTCGCAGAGGGGTCAGAGGTAGATCACCAGCCCCACTTGGTCTCACTGAGGGTCTCACCAATGAGCAAGAGCAAAGTTTTAAAGATTGCGCAAGATCAGCCTGGATCAATACTTGACCTACATTTAACAAAAATAACTCCGAATACGTTTCCATGGCTGTACATAAGAACATAAGAGACGCCAATGTTGGATCAGGCCAAAGGCCCATCCAGTCCAACACTCTGTGTCACACAGTGGCCAGAAATACCAGTGCCATCAGGAGGTCCACCAGTGGGGCCAGGACATTAGAAGCCCTCCCACTGTTGACCCCCCCCCCAAGCACCAAGAAGACAGAGCATCACTTGCCCCAGAGCCCCTATCTATACCTTGTGGCTAATAGCCACTGATGGACCTCTGCTCCATATGCTTATCTAATTCCCTTTTGAAGTTGTCCATGCTTGTAGCCGCCACCACTTCCTGTGGCAGTGAATTCCAAGTGTTAATCACTCTTTGGGTGAAGAAGGACTTCCTTTTATCCGTTCTAACCCGACCGCTCAGCAATTTCATGGAGTGCCCACGGGTTCTTGTATTGTGAGAAAGGGAGAAAAGTACCTCTTTCTCTACCTGCTCTTTCCCATGCATAATCTTATAAACCTCAATCATGTCACCCCTCAGTCGTCGTTTCTCCAAGCTAAAGAGCCCTAAGCGCCTTAACCTTTCCTCATAGGGAAAGTGTTCCAACCCATGTACATGACAGAAGCTGAACTTCTTCCCACTAACACTTAGGGAGGGCTAGTGCAGGACCCACTTTCAGAGGCTCCGTGACCCACTTTGGGGTCCTGACCCACAGGTTGGGAAACACTGCCCTAGATGGACTAAGCCGCAGAGAGAGAATCATGAACACTCTCAAAATTAAACACTTCCCCCACCTCACAATCCAGCCCGATTACAGATTCACATACAGATTTTCTGACATGAATATTGCTTTGTACGGGGCATTCCCTGAGTAGTGGGAAGCCCGTACAGAATCGGTTTTATTTAAAGCAGTATGGACTTGCAGTGTTCCTGTAATAACCTGTTTATTGACTAACGTACAAGAAGTAGAAGAGATTGGATTTATACCCCACCTTTCACTACCCGAAGGAGTCTCAGAGCGGCTTACGATCTCCTTTCCCTTCCCCTCCCTACAAAAGACACCCTGTGAGGTAGGTGGGGCTGAGAGAGCTCTCTTGAGAACTGCCCTTGAGAGAACAGCTCTGAGAGAACATATGACTGACCCAAGGTCACACCAGCAGCTGCATGTGGAGAAGGAGTGGGGAAACAAACCTGGTTCTCCCAGATTAGAATCCGTGCCTCTAACCACTACACCAAACTGGCTCTCAAGTCATGGATGTGTTTAGGGGTGCAGAAACAAGAGAAGAAGGACACAGGGAAAGTCCTCCAAAGCCAGATAAAATGCATGACATGCCAAAACATGCGCATGCATATACTAGATTTGCCTACCACAATAAGAAGAGGAGATTGGATTTATACCCTGCCCTTCACTACCCAAAGGTGTCTCAGAGCAGTTTACAAACTCCTTTCCCTTCCCCTCCCCACAACAGACACCCTGTGAGGTAAAAGAAGAAGAAGAAAAAGAGATTGGATTTATACCCTGCCCTTCACTAACCGAAGGTGTCTCAGAGCGGCTTACAAACTCCTTTCCCTTCCCCTCCCCACAACAGACACCCTGTGAGGTAGGTGGGGCTGAGAGAGCTCTTGACAGAAACTGCTCTTTTTCAAGGACAGTTCTTATCAGAACTACGGCTTTTGCCCAAGGTCATCCAGCCAGGGGCAAGTGGAGGAGTGGGGAATCAAACCCGGTTCTCCCAGATTAGAGTCCGCGCACTTAACTACAACACCAAACTGGCTCTCTCCAAGGAGGGGCTTGGAGATCCCCCAGAAGTACAACCTATCTCCAGACAACAGTGATCGGTTCTCCTGGAGAAAATGGCTGATTTGGAGGGTAGACTGCACGGCATTATACCTTGCTGAAGTACTTCCCCTCCCAAATACCACCCTCCCTAAACTCTGCCTCCAAAATCTCCAGGAACTGCCCAGCCTTGAGTTGGCAACCCAATGCACAAACAAAAAAAACGACCTCTTAGCCACCGTGTTTGACCACACTAAACTATATTCCAGCTTGGCTACATAAAAGTGAAAGCGACACCCAGCCCAGAATCTCTTACCTGGACTTCCATAAAGCAGAGCACTAGATCCGGTGCCCTTAAGACTCAGCCCAGAGCTAACACTGTTATATTATTTGCTTCTTGTCTCATAAAAGCCCCAAGTGAGATGCATCTGACTCCCAGCACAGGTTTGATAAAGTGAAATAAGAATGCTCTTGGTTAAAAATAAGCACGGGGCTTCATTAAATATGATGCTCAAGCGCTATTTGCAGAGGACAGACCGCTTTGATCGAGCTCAGCCGTCACAACAAAGGGTTTTTTGCTTTTTGAAAAGACTGTGGCAAGGAGGCAGCTGCTGGCTTTTGTTTCCCCCCTCTTCACGTTGTCCCAGTTTGTTTAAAAACAAAATGAGAAAGTGCGCAGCCCACCAAAACATGGCGGCAGTGTTCCCTCTAAGCTGAGTTAGTGTGATCCAGCTCACCGTTTTTTTAGCCTCCGGCTCGCAGATGTTTATGCAGCAGCCAAATCGCTCGCTCGCCGCTTTAATGCCAGGAGCTCACAAAGCAGAATTTTCGCTCACTGGACTCCACAGCTTAGAGGGAGCGTCGCTTGGCGGTGGTGGAAATGCTGCCGTGTCGCAGCCGACCTACGGCAACCCCGTCGGGTTTTCAAGGACAGAGACGAAGAGAGGGGTTCTGTCATTGCCTGTCTGTGCACAGCAACCCTGAATCCCCTTTGCCTGTCCGTAGCCCTTTCCGCACTCTCCTTTCAATCCGTGCTCACCCCCAGTGTCCTCCAAGCAACTCTGCACTGAAATAAAATTCAACCTTCTCTTTAATCCAGGGGTGATTTCCCACAAGCGCTGCTCCGCGGTCACTCCTCCCTTTTGCCCCGATGGTACGTGCCAATTTCACGCAAGCTGCTGTGCGGCCGCATTTTGCCCCGCAGCTTCGTGTGATTTTCCCCGCGTCTACTCAGTCCTCAAAAAAACAGGATTGAGTAGATGCGGGGCAAATCGCACGAAGTTGCGGGGCAAAACGCAGCCGCGCAGCAGCTTGTGTGAAATTGACACGTACCATCGGGGCAAAAGGGAGGAGTGACCGCGGAGCAGCGCTTGTGGGAAATCACCCCTGGATTAAAGAGAAGGTTGAATTTTATTTCAGTGCAGAGTTGCTTGGAGGACACTGGGGGTGAGCACGGATTGAAAGGAGAGTGCGGAAAGGGCTTCTCCCAGGGAAACTGAAGGCATTTAAAAAGAATATTTTAAAACTGCTTAGGACAGATGCACCTACTTGTTTTGAGGGAATGAGGATGAGCCAGCATCCAACTCAGACCCCTCAAAAGTGGGTAAAGACCCAGATGGCCACATGAAGCTGCCTTATAGTGAATGAACTCAAGGGTCCATCAAGGGAAGTCCTGTCTACTTGGACTGGCAGTAGCTCTCCAGGGTCTCAGGCAGAGGTCTTTCGCATCACCTGCTACTTGGTCCTTTTAACTGGAGAGGCCAGGGATTGAACTTGGGACCTTCTGCGTGCCAGGCAGATGCTCTGCCACTGAGCCACGGCCCCTCCCCAGATGCCGCCCTCCACTCCAACTCCATTTAACAATTTTTCATGTGGCATCTTGAGGAGTGGATGAAAAGCTCCTGTGGACCAGATGTGGGCTCTCACGGGCCATACTTCCCCCTTGTTATACAGTTGTCAACCTCCAGGTGAGGCCTGGAGATTTTCTAGAATTACAATGATCTATAGACTACGGAAGAGGAGGAGGAGGAGGAGGAGGAGGAGATTGGATTTATACCCCACCCTTCACTACCCAGAGGAGTCTCAGAGCGGCTTACAAACTCCTTTCCCTTCCCCTCCCCACAACAGACACCCTGTGAGGTAGGTGGGGCTGAGAGAGCTCTGACAGAAACTGCCCTTTTTCAAGAACAGCTCTGGCAGAACTGTGGCTTGCACAAGGTCATCCAGCAGCTGCAAGTGGAGGAGTGGGGAATCAAACCCAGTTCTCCCAGATTAGAGTCCGCGCTCCTAACCGCTACACCAAACTGGCTCTTTACAGGAGGAGGAGGACGAGGAGGACAAGGAGGAGGAGATTGGATTTATACCCCACCCTTCACTACCTGAAGGAGTCTCAGAGTGGCTTACAGTCTCCTTTCCCTTCCCCTCCCCACAACAGACACCCTGTGAGGTAGGTGGGGCTGAGAGAGCTCTGACAGAAACTGCCCTTTTTCAAGAACAGCTCTGGCAGAACTACGGCTTGCCCAAGGTCATCCAGCAGCTGCAAGTGGAGGAGTGGGGAATCAAACCCGGTTCTGCCAGATCAGAGTCCGCGCTCCTAACCACTACACCAAACTGGCTCTTGAGTGGACTCTATGGTGTTGCACCCCTCCCATCCTCCAAAACCTGTCCTCCCCAGGTTCCACCCTCAAATCTCCAGGAATTTCCCAACCCAGAGTCAGCATCCCTAACTGAAGAGGACTGTACCAACAACTGCATCTGAAAAACACGATGAATCTTTTTCATGTGCCAAGATATCAGGGAAAATCTGGTGGTGTGGACATTTAAGCAGGGGTCATTTCGTAGGAAAAGAGGTGCAGGAGCTCATTAGCATAACTCATTAGCATAACTTATTTGCATATGCCACACCCCCTGACATCACCGGACGTGTGTCAGAAGGCAACACCCACCACTCAGGCTCCACTGGACTGTTTTGGATTGCTAGCTATTGGGGAGGGGGGGCGTGCAGATCTGTCCTCGCAGAGGAGGGAGAGCTTGTACCTGAATAAAACTTGGTCTTAAAGGTGCCACTGGACTGTTTTGGACTGGCGGCCATGGGTGAGCTCTGCAGCTTACCTGGCTGCTTCTTGCTCTGACTGAGGGCTGCTGGGAGCAGGGGGTGGGGCTTGTTGCCTGTGCCCGCCCTCTGAGCTCTTTACTGCCGGAGCTCCACTCCTGTGCGCTCCTACAGGAAATGACCCCTGCATTTAAGATCTGGTGTAAATATATGAACGGGCTTGTGGGTCAGTCTTTGGGGCTTTTTAAGAACTGGATCATGTTAAGGGCAAACAGTTCAATCTTATGTTATGTTTACTCAGAAGTAAGTCCAAAAAAACTTACAGTTCGATGATGTATCCACTGGCTGTGCCCATATTCCAAGGTTCCTCCCAACTCCCGAGTCAGCTGACTTTTGTCGATGTACCCATGTAGATCAGAAACCGAATTTAACATGATGATCTGTACCAAATAATTAAGTAAAGAAATAGATAAATAGATAGGCCAAATTCAGCAAACGTTCCAATGAATGAACTCAAGAAAAAGGGAGCAAGTTGGGCCAAACGACAGGGAAGCAGTGTTCCCTCTAAGCTGAGTTAGTGTGAGTTAGCTCACAGTTTTGTAGCCTCCAGCTCACACATTTTTGTCTTAGCTCAGGAAAGATGGCTCCCCTCAGAACTGGGCCCTCACTGTATTCTAAAATCACTTCAAAATGGTGACAGTGTCCTCATGACGGCCACAAGAACACCCTCACGACGAGTAGTTTGGCCCTAAACTGTTCAGAGCTGCAACAAGGGGATTATCCCATTTCATTATCACAACAATCTTACGAGGTAGGTCAGACTGAGATCGAGAGAGACTTGCCGAAGATCACATCATGAGATCCATGGCTGAGCGTGGATCGGAACTGAAGCTGTCCCGGTCCTTGTCGGACTCTCTCTAACCCACCAACCCACACTGAACTTCTGTGGGTTTCTTCGGCAGAGAGCAGGAACAGCTTCTCATATTTCTCAAGCCGCTACGGTTGCCAGGTCATAAGAACATAAGAACATAAGAGATGCCAATGTTGGATCAGGCCAAAGGCCCATCCAGTCCAACACTCTGTGTCACACAGTGGCCAGAAATACCAGTGCCATCAGGAGGTCCAGCCGTGGGGCCAGGACATTAGAAGCCCTCCCACTGTTGACCCCCCCCAAGCACCAAGAAGACAGAGCATCACTTGCCCCAGAGCCCCTATCTATACCTTGTGGCTAATAGCCACTGATGGACCTCTGCTCCATATGCCTATCTAATTCCCTTTTGAAGCCGTCCATACTTGTAGCCGCCACCACTTCCTGTGGCAGTGAATTCCATGGGTTAATTATTCTGGGTGAAGGACTTCCTTTTATCCATGAGAAAAGTACCTCTTTCCCTACCTGCTCTTTCCCATGCATAATCTTATAAACCTCAATCATGTCACCCCTCAGTCGTCGTTTCTCCAAGCTAAGTGGTCCTGTCCACTCACCAGCG